TGTGTGTGTGTGTTTGTGTGAAAACTTGAAACTTGAATATTATTCGCCATTGAAGGGTGTCAACCAAAGAACGTAAGATATAATATATAAGGTTTGCTAATACTTATCGGAATACTTCGAAATACATACGGAACAAACGTGGGGCATGTGGACGAGCACGCCGCCCACTGAGTGGGGCTCGGGTTGTGGTACGGCCACAGGCACAGGACCTTCGTAAAGAGAATATATACATAAATAATTGAGATTAGTAAGCTTCAGTATTTTCACTGAATGCGTCAGTTGCACACAACTCTGCTAGAAATGGAAACGAAATTTTAATTGAAATAGTAATTGTAATTGAAATTATTTAAATGGGCAAGATAACGCATTGCATTCACTAATTCGAGCATGCATCCATGTACATACACTAAAAGTATAATTCCTAAAAACTGTTTCCACTAATGCTCATGGTCAATATGCAAACGCTTTTTTCTGTTTTTGGAAATCCACTGATATAATCAACATGCAAGTTTTGAATTTTCCAATTTTCCAATTTTTCCATTTCCAATTGGGTTTCGCATACACACAATGTGTGTGTGTGCAGCTTAAGATCAGTTTAGTCGACTCGGATATTGCATTAATAAAATGTAGATTTCTTTGGAAGAGCATAAACTGCATACACACAGACATTCTACAATGGTAATTCCTAAAGAAAWTAGTCTTTAAAATCATAGATCATCAACATATGTTTAGGGCACTGAGTGCTACACCGGGTGCGGGATTAACTGTGGACTTTAGTGTATTTATTAGTGTAGTGGAAGACGCATTTATTAGAGTGTAAAGAGCGTTTACCGAACCGAAACATAATGGAACTAAATGGAACAATCAATATTTATCTGTTTGGGAGTTCTACGTTAAAGACAATCTAATATATGTATATATGAATATGTATTTAAAAGCTTTTATGCTAAATCAAATGCTAGAAAGCGAAACAGACATTGTTGGATAGAAGAGTGTTTTGTTGTTGCTGTTGCTGTTAGAAGTGGTTTACTGTCTGCTTATAGGTGGAGTGTTTGTTGTGTATAGTCTACTCGTGTTTTCGTGTGGTATAAAATACTCAAAGTTATTTGAATTGTAACGAAATGTATGTTTAACTGATTAACAATGTTAATAATGTAATGCAAATATTTGATTATTGTTGATTTGTGTTTGGTGTGTATTTTTTTTGTTTTTTGTTTTTCTTTTTTAACAAATGATAAATTTGCTATTGGTGCATCACCTGCCATTATAATAATTTTTCCATCGTCTGAAAAGAATTGATCTAGCTTAAAGATATCTGATAATGATTGATAGATTGTAAATTTTAGTATTTAGTATTTGATGAGTAGTTGACGGTTGGTTATTGTATTAAATAGCAAGTAAATAATTCATCATATATAGACCGATTGTTTCGACAGAGCGACANTAGTCTTTAAAATCATAGATCATCAACATATGTTTAGGGCACTGAGTGCTACACCGGGTGCGGGATTAACTGTGGACTTTAGTGTATTTATTAGTGTAGTGGAAGACGCATTTATTAGAGTGTAAAGAGCGTTTACCGAACCGAAACATAATGGAACTAAATGGAACAATCAATATTTATCTGTTTGGGAGTTCTACGTTAAAGACAATCTAATATATGTATATATGAATATGTACTTAAAAGCTTTTATGCTAAATCAAATGCTAGAAAGCGAAACAGACATTGTTGGATAGAAGAGTGTTTTGTTGTTGCTGTTGCTGTTAGAAGTGGTTTACTGTCTGCTTATAGGTGGAGTGTTTGTTGTGTATAGTCTACTCGTGTTTTCGTGTGGTATAAAATACTCAAAGTTATTTGAATTGTAACGAAATGTATGTTTAACTGATTAACAATGTTAATAATGTAATGCAAATATTTGATTATTGTTGATTTGTGTTTGGTGTGTATTTTTTTTGTTTTTTGTTTTTCTTTTTTAACAAATGATAAATTTGCTATTGGTGCATCACCTGCCATTATAATAATTTTTCCATCGTCTGAAAAGAATTGATCTAGCTTAAAGATATCTGATAATGATTGATAGATTGTAAATTTTAGTATTTAGTATTTGATGAGTAGTTGACGGTTGGTTATTGTATTAAATAGCAAGTAAATAATTCATCATATATAGACCGATTGTTTCGACAGAGCGACAGAGCGACAGTGTGTGACAGAGATAGAMAGAAGATAGACGTTGGTACGCGCGAGAAAAGTGCGTGTGTGAGCGAGACAGCGAGCGAGCGTTAGTATATACATATTTKTTTATACAGTGGACGCGTAGAATATGTTAGAGATAGAGAGAGAGAAAGATACACATATTTATGTAGATAGAGATAGCAAGATAGACATATAAGTAAAAGCCAAATAAGTTGAAAGGAAAATGTTTCTTATAGTATGATTATGGAAAGAGACTTAATAATGATCTCGTTTTTAATTGCAGCGTTCTTAGTGAAATGTGTTTCGATTTAAGAATTAGTCTCGGTCTTGTTTAGTTTTTGGTAAGTTCCATAAGCTGTTTATTATTTTATTTTCATTTTAACTGGGTCTAGGTTTTAGGGAAGTTCAAACTGTTTACTGAGCATAACAGGTGCAGGTTTCTATGTTGGTTCCAAACTTGGTTTATATGCGCTTTAAACGTGGGCTTTAGTCTAAGCAATTGTTTACAAAGACGCTTTCAAAGGCGTCATACCATTCAGTTGCCTGCATATAGTCGAGGCAATGATGTATAGTCTACATTTTTAGCTACAAGTTGAGTGGCATTTGTCTGGGATTACTTTTACGGTGGTTAGTTACGAGTATTTATAGGTTAGGTTTTGCGGGTTTGAATTAGATACAAAACTTGGAGACTTTTCGAGAGGTACTTTACAACCGAATTTTCGCAAATCAACTAAAAAGCGCTCGGACAGCGTCGGGCTTACCTGCAAAGCCGCCGAGCGGGCCCAATGGGATGGGCAAAGGTGCCATGGAGAGCGAAACATCACGGGTTTTCTCCTTCTCAGACTCGGGTGGCGATTTCCGCGATGATTTCTCCTCTTCGATGATATCCTCAATAGGCACCTGAGTTTGGGCAGTTTATAAAAAATGCTTTTTGGCTATTTGAGTAA